CTGTACCATCTAACTTTACAAATCATACCATCCGTGTCAGAGTGCCAATCACTGTGATTAATATTTTCAATATGATTACACAATCACTAGTTGCCCTGATCTGTGAGGGACAGTTCCCTTTAATCCACCATTCTGCTTTTTCATCTGGGTTTAAATTGTCCCAATTTCTATCTCCTCCCTCTTTCCCATTCTGTTCCCAGCTGACTCCATTTGCTGCAAACTGAAATGAGAGTACAAAAGTCGTTTGGACTCCATTTAACTCAGCAGAGAGAAGAGTAAAAATCTTGCTTTTTTCAGTAGATTTAGGCAAAGGCAGGCTTCTCACTTCGGGTGTTCTTCCTCACTAATAATCTTTGTCATCACAAACACACCCTGACAGTTTTCATCTGTGAAATGTTGGGGGGCATGGGATAATGTTCTGTGAAAAAGAGTCAGACCTAAATGTTCTTTCTCTTCCAAATTACAACACATCCACTAAAGCAATGGAAAAATGGTAAGACACTTATGTAAGTTCTGCCTGATTCAGTAAGTCCACACTATTTGGGACTAGGAATCCGATTTCTACTGATAAATGAACATTGGGGTGATAATCGGTTTCCTTTGAGATCTTACTCTTGCAAAAGAAATACAGGATTTTTTTTTTGTATATCGAGTGATATACAAGGCAAAGTTCTGGATCTTACAAATATTATATCCATTAAATGCAAATTGTTTCAACAAACTTTATTTCCAAAATAGAGATATAGCCTGTCGTTCTTCATATTCAAGTCTCGGGAAGAAGGATATGTGTCAGTTGTGAACCAGATGTAGATTTTGTTCTGTATTTGGCAAGGATCTCAGCCATGCTAAAATTCCTCACATTTATGCCATACTAATACCATTTACTGACTTTCTCATGAGCACTCTGCTGAATTTTATGGTATGGCTGTTTGGATTCAATGTTCATATTCAACAGAAATATTTGGTTCTCAGTGAAGGGGCAAACTACTCTAACCATATCCTATAAAGCACAGAGAGTGTCTTAAACATTTTGCAGTATATTTATTCTTAATGTTTGATGTTTAAGTCACCTTGTCCTGCATAATTACAAGATAAACAAGAACTCAGGGCTCTTTGACACATCCCTGTATCCCAGAATATCAAAGCAGAAAAATCGCACAATATCTGCTTTGAACTGGGTTATCTGAGTCCGCATTGAGATAATGTGGGTTTTCTGCCTTGATATTCTGGGATATAGGGCTGTGTGGAAGGGCCCCCTGGTGCAACAGTAAAGCCCATTTGGGGACCATGGTAAGAAGTGTCTCCACCTGCCACTGAAGTGGAAGTTCTCACTCTGAAGGGGAATAAATACAGGCTCTCATCACCTTGCTTAACACTTAGAGAAGGCTGAGAGGAGACATGATGGCCATGTATAAATATTTGAGGGGAAGTCATAGGGAGGGGGGCGGGCAGGTGTGTTTTCTGCTGCCCTGGAGACTAGGACATGGAACAATGGCTTCAAACTACAGGAAAGGAGATTCCACCTGAAGATTAGGAAGAACTTCCTGACTGTGAGAGCTGTTCAGCAGTGGAACTCTCTGCCTCAGAATGTGGTGGAAACTCCTTCTTTGGAGGCTTTTAAACAGAGGATGGATGGCCATCTGTTGGGGGGTACTTTGAATGTGATTTTCCTGCTTCTTCGCAGGGGGTTGACCTGGATGGCCCAGGAGGTCTCTTCCAACTCAAGGATTCTATGATTCTATGATTAACACTGATAGCATGTTCCAGGTCTTGCATTTTAAAACATCCTGAAATAAGATACTTGTTTAGAAGAACAATACACGCTTCATATTTGCAGGTTTAACCTTTATAGGTTTAGTTATTTGCAGAGTTGATTGATTTGGTGTCTCCAAAAATCTCTAGGTCCTCCACCACAACTCCCTGACTAATTTCAAGGGTGAGTTAACCATAGAGTCATGCTTGCAAGTAAACAAATATAGTGTTTTTAATTCACATTTGTGGAGGGCAGACTGTATATGCTACATGGTAATATGGCTGTATGCACTAGGCAGACTGCAGTGTTCTTCTGTAAAACATACCACATTTTCTGAACTGTGAACTCTGAAAGCCATTTCAGCTGCCTAGTAAATCATATGCAGAGACATCCCAATGTTACAGAAAGGGGCAACTTCATAATGCATCAATTAGTATGGTAATTGGTATGCAATGCAAAACTAAACTCAGGGAAATAATTAATTTAAATTCAGGGTGATGTTAAATTCCATAGTCTGTTTTTCATAATTGGTTATTACAGCCTAATAGGGAACATCCATTCTGTAGTATACGTTGGTGCCCTCTAAAGACTACATGAACAATAAAAAGGGGATATTTCACATATATTTTTTGATCTTTTAAAAATTGCTTATGGAGTAAACTGCCCATTTACATAGTAAGTTTAAAGTGTGGGGCTACAATGTGTACTGATAGGATGTTCCAGGGTTTGGGGTTTTTGGGGGAGGCGGGGGAGGGATAGACTTTGGAGAAAGATGCTTCAAAGTTTCTTCATTTCTTGTTTATCATACATCTGTATCAGGAAACAACAAAGTGAAACTTCTTATATCTTGGGAGGGGATTGGTGTGATTTGCAAACTTTCTTAATTTCTCATAATTTTGTTTTCATTCTTAATGAATTAAAAAGTGAAGTGTTGCTAATTTCTTACTGAGTCTATAAATATCCTGCTATTGTAAGCCAGGTGTAACTTCTGCCTCATATTTAGAATTAAATTAGACTTTAATTAAAAGAAACGTTCTATAATTCCACCCAGTGAACAATGCTGAATGCATTGAAACTCATTTGAAACTACTAAACTCTTTATACTAAATATGCAAGAATTAAACGACTTCGGCCCAGTTTACCTGTCCGAATGGATTCTTCCCTATGAACCTTCAAGGTTATTAAGATCTTCCGGAGGGGCCCTGCTCTCGGTCCCACCACCTTCGCAATCGCGTTTGGTGGGGACGAGGGATAGGGCCTTCTTGGTGGTGGCTCCTCGGCTTTGGAACTCCCTCCCACTAGAGATTAGATCTGCTCCCTCCCTCCTGACCTTCAGGAAACTAATAAAGACCTGGCTTTGGAACGTGGCATTTGAGGACTGAATCTATAACCTTCGTCCACATGGAAGGAGGATGATGAACTGTGACTGTGACTGTATTGACGACTTGGCTTGGGTAATGTGATGATGATGTTTTTATTGTACTTATATTTTAATCTGTAATGATGATGCACTGTGTTGTTTTTGTATATTATTTTATTTGAACACATGTTGTGAACCGGCCTGAGTCCCTCGTTCGAGGTGAGAAGACTGGTATATAAAACTTCTAAATAAATAAATCACCATCCTGCCTATGAGAGCTCCACTGTGTTCAATTTTTGGGATATACAGAGTCCCAATGATACCATTAGAATTCCCTTAACTCAAAATGAAAGACTCTCCACATAGTAGACCTCAACCTAATTAGTCATGGTTTTCAAGTGGCCATATCGAGGGTCCAAACAAGAAAAAGATTTAGCTCAATTCTAAAAACTATCTTTAAAAAATCACAAAACCAGCAAAACAAAAATAAAAATCACTGCAATATTATTTCTCTCTTATTAGGTGAAAAAAAAAACTTGCACAAGAACATCTACTGGTATCTCCATTATTTTGTCATGTGTCTTATTTTAAACTAGAGATGAAGTCACATGTGTGCCTTTGATATTAGCCATAATTGTAAATTAGTTTGTCAATCCTTTTTCTAGCCATGATTGCAAACCAGCTTGAGACGAACAACTAAAATAACGATTATTATAGTCACCTCAGACGGGAGACCTACAATCTAAAAGCAAGTAGATGTTGTCGTTCTCACAGAGGGCCAGGCAATTCACCAAGCTATTCTGGCATAAATAGTCACCCTTTTGTATATTATATGTAACATTGGGGAGTACAAACAATATTTTAACTTGTTGTTTTCTGTTTTTAAAGGTCATAGCTACAATCTTCCATGCACTCAAAGCTCTGAAGCATAATGATACTAACAGTTCTGAACAATTGTTTATGCCATTGCAGCCCACAAACATTTTTGTGTAGTATCTGGATCAATGTATGAAAACAAAGACAATGTGGTATTCAGGATGTAGAGGATGCTTTCTTTTCACTGGTCCTTGAAAAGTATACAAAGTTATGACAGCATCACGCACAATCCATACTTTTGAAGCTGAGCTTCCACTGAACTTCAAGATGTTGGAGATATATATATATATATATATATATATATGATTTTTTCACTTGAAGGACCAAGTGCTAAAAATATTTTGTGCTTTTCTTTTAAGCATCAACAAAAAAGGAATCAGCACATCCTAGCAGGCAGCCATCTCTCCATTTTACTTTCGAAAAGGCAAAAATATCTGAAACAGGAACTGAAATGAGAACAAATGGTTTAATGAGCTTCAGGGGTGGTGAATACAAATTGTGATGGCAAAATGTATACTACCAAAGACAAATGAGGTGGGGCTGGAAAAAAGAGGAAGTCCTCATTTCAATGCTGGGGAGTGGAATAAGGCTTGGTGTGATTTCAACTTTGAAAAGCTGCTTATGGAAGGTGGGGAAGGAAAAGGAAGGCATTTAGGCTTTTGGGATAGTGAGATGGAAGAATCTATGCTTTCAAAGGGAAGGAAAGTAGATGATGCTGTGGAGAGTTTAAGGGTAGAGAGACACATGTACAGCAAGGGATATCGATGGATTTTGCCTGAAGAGATCTGATGAGAAATCCATTGCAAATGTGCTGGAGGCAGAAAAAGCCAAGGAAGGGAGAAGTACAGAGTTCTCTAGAACCAATGCAGAAGGAATTGATGAGCAATGACTAGATGCATCAAAGGAGAGATCCTTGCAACTGGAAAGATGTGCATGAAGACATGTGTATAGATACTAAGATACAATAGGGTGTTGTTAGTACAGAAGGGAAGAAAATGAGCTTTGACTTACTTTGAGGAGTTTGCAGCGGATTTGCGCAGAGACCATATGGCTGTTGCGGAGATTGCCCACCCTGAACATGAGGGTGAGTTTGCCATCCCTCATGGAGATAGCTGCATGCTCGCTGAACATCAGCGTTTCTGCCCGCTTCTTAGGCTGGGACATTTTGATGAACATACAGCCAATGAGGAACGCATCCACAATGGAGCCCAGAATGGACTGGAAGAGGAAGAGGATGATGCCCTCTGGACATTTGTCCGTGATGTACCGGTAGCCATACCCGATGGTCGCCTCGGTCTCGATGAAGAAAAGGAAGGCAGAGGGAAAGTTGTAGACGTTGGCCACACAGGGCGTGTATTTCTCATCGTGGGCTTTGTTCAAGTCACCCCGCATGTAGGCAATGACCCACCACATGGAGGCCATGAAGAGCCAGGCCACGGTGTAGGTGAGGATGAAGATGAAGAGGTTCCAGCGCCACTTGAGGTCCACCAAGGTGGTGAAAAGGTCCGACAGGTAACGGCTGGTCTCGCTGCCCAGGTTGCCGTGCTGCACGTTGCACCGGCCATTCTTGTCCACGAACCGTTGGCGCTTCTTCTTGTGGGCTGACGCCTGCTGCTGGTGGAAGCCGGAGCCGCTAGACGAGGTGGTCACTACCTGGTAGTCGTCCCCAAATTTCCTTCGGAGTGCAGACATAATACGGGGAGCCTCGCCAGAGCCCCCAAGCTGCTGGGGGGAAAGGGGAGAGGACCTGGCAGTGCACCTCTTCCTCTGGTCCCAGGTTCACCTCTATCCTTTGGCCTCCCTTCCCCTCCCTTTTCTCTCTGACTTTTTATTCCCTCCCCCAGTGTCCACCACTCTCTTTCCTCCCCTCCCTCCCTCCCCTCCCTCTCTCTTTCCTCTCCTCCTTCACAACCAGGATCCTGGAGAGAGAAGTGCCATCTTCAGCATTACCTCAATCTTGGAAGTTAGGGTCAAGGAAAGAGAGAGGCTTGCTCCAGCCCAGTCAGAGGGGCAGGGCTGCTCTCCTGGTGCCTTTCCTCCCCTTCCCCTCAAGAGGGTTGAGGACTGGGCACAAAGGCATGGCTTCGCCAAGCGGGAAGAGATGGCAATCCCCAGAGCTCCAGAGGTGGCTCTCTCTCTCTCTCACTTCTCTCCTCCTTCTTTGGTGCTGAATCCGGCTGGACAGCTCCCCCAAAGTGCCCGCTGCCTTCTGGTCTGCCTGCCTGCCTTCCTCCTCCTCGGCAGGACAGAGAAAGAGAGGCTCGGGTGGGAGGGGAGGAGGAGGAGGAGGAGAAGCAGGAGCAGCGAGCAAAACGCCAGCGCGCCTGGCTACCTTCCACCTCCGTCTTCTCTCTCTCTCTCTCTCTCCCTTTCTGAGCCTGAGGAGTTGCGCTGTGGGCGCGCGCGTGTGGACGCGTGTGCGCGTGTCTAGAAGGCCCCCGGGGCTGGGTTGCGTGAAGGAGAGGAAGCCAGAGAAAGTGTGGTCCCTAGCGGTGCCTTTCCCACAAACTGGGGGGGGGGGGGGGGGGAGGAGAGAGAGAGAGAGAGAGAGAAGAGGGTAGCAGCAGCGGCTTTTTCAACACACACACACTTCTAATATTTCATTTTCTCGGCTGCTGAGGATATCCAAAGGAAGGCATCGCAGCCACAGTGCAGGAAAGATAAGGGGGGGGGGGGGGGAAGGGCGGACTATAAGCCCAACGACAGGCAAAGGAGGGCAAAAAGCAGGGGGGAAAGGGAAGGGGGAGAAGGAGGTGGGGATAGGAGAAGATGTCAAAATTCCTTCCCTCTTTTCCTTCCTTCCCTTTCCTCCTGTCCTTCCCTCTTTTCCTTCCTTCCCTTTCTCTCTCTTTTGCTTCCTTCCTTCCTTCCCTCTTTTCCTTCCTTCCCTCTTTTCTTCCTTCCTTCTTCCTCTTTCCTTCCTTCCCCTTTCTTCCCTCTTTTCCTTCCTTTCTTCCCTCTTTCCTTCCCTCTTTTCTCTTTTCTTCCCTCTTTCTTTCCCTTCCCTCTTTTCCTTCCTCCCTTCCCTTTTTCCTTCCCTTCTTTCCTTGTTTTTCCTTCCTTTCCTCCTTTCTCTCTTTCTTTCCTTTCCTTCTCTCCTTCCCAATTCCAATGGTAGCTAATGGAATAACCTCCCCATTGCTGCGCCCCAGAGTGCAGCCCCCAGGCTAGTTGCCTCGCTCGAGGCAGTGGGAGGCGTGAGCTGGGAGGCGGGAGGCACTGCCGAGGGAAAGAGAGGAGGAGGAGGAGGAGAGCAGCTCCGTCTCCCTGGGTGGGAGTGAATGCATGAGGCGAGCTGCAGACCTCCCGCTTTGGCCTGCCCCTTCCCTTCCCTTCCCTCCCTCTTGCCTGCAGTGAGAGCCCAAGGCGGCGACAAGAGCGGGGGCGACTGCGCCCCGAACCCCCCCCCCCCCCAGCCCTCGGCGCTCCCCCTCCAGAGCCAGGGCTGCTGCTGCTGCTGCTGTGGCCAAGGAGGAGGCAAGTGGGGCATCTCCAATGGAGCTCCTTAAAAATGTCTAATGTGTCGAGTGCGCGGAACAGCTTACGCCTAAAAGGCCGAGAGGCTCCCCAAATGCAGAGCCTCGCCTCGCCCAATGGAGGCTTGGGAAGGGCAGTGGGGAAAAGTCACATCCTGCCTTTCAGAGAGAAAGAGAACAGACACGGATTCTGCCCAATTGAGGCTGATTTTTTTCCCCTTTTGACAGTGGCAAGCGAAGCACCACAATCTACGCACTTTCTCTAATCCGATGAAAGAAGCATCACAAAATGCTGCAAAATCCTGGCAGCACTGCTAGATAAATCCAAGGCATTGGGGATCCTCAACAGTGGAGACCTGCCAAATTGTACTCTTGTGTGCCTTCAAGTCATTTCTGACATGATGGTGACTCTAAGGTGAACCTGCCACAGTGTTTTCCTGGCAGAATTGGTTCACAGAGGGATTACCCTTGCCTTCATTTGAGGCTGAGAGGGTGCGACTACTCCATGGTCACCCAAAGTGTGTCTGCATCATAGCATTAATGCAGTTTCACACAACCTTTAACTGCCATGGGTTTGCAAGGTCTTGAACCTTCACTGCCAAAGAGGTCTGGTGCCCCGCGAAATTCCATAGCATTGAGCCAAGACAGTTCAAGTGGTACCAAACTCCATTGATTCTAGAGTGTAGATCAGGTATGGGTTAACCCAGAACCGGGGGCCAGATGCAGCCCCTTGGGCTCTTTTCTCAAGTCCTTGCTCTCTTTCCCACCATCTTATCCCTCCATACTTCTCTCTTTCATTCCTTCTTCTCTTTCTTCCTTCCTTGCCTCCTTCTTTCTCCCTCCCTTATTTATTAACCCTTTCATCCCTCCTTCCCTCTTTCTTCCCTCCTTCCCCCTCTCTCTTTCTCATTCCTTGCTTCCCTTTTGTCTTTCCTTACTTCTCCCTTCCCTCCATTCTGTTCCTCCCTCCCTTCTTTCCTTCTCTGATTCCTTCCTCCTTACCTCCTGGGGGATGTTTAGCTGGGAGAAGAGAAGGTAGAGAGGGAACATGAGAATCACGTTTCAAGATTTTAGGGTGTCCCATTGAGAAGCCAGGGGAGGGGGGGGACACACACTGACTTCCTGCTGCTCTAGAGACCAGCGCACAAGGGAACAATCGTTTCAAATGAAAGGGAAAGAGATTCATCTGAAAAGATTAGGAAGAACTTCCTGAGAGTAAGAGCTGTTGGAGAGTGGCTTTTCAGCAGAGGCTTGTCTATTGGGAGTGCGTTTAATCTGCCTTCCTGCATGGCAGGGGTTGGACTGGATGGCCCTTGGGGATCTCTTTCAGCTCTAGGATTCTATATCAGAAGTAGGTAATGCAGGGTCTTGTGGATACAGTTTTTCTCTTCCATCCATCATCTCATGCTGACCAAGGCCAACCCTTTTGGGATCTAAACATTTCCTGTCTTTCCTTCACTTTCTGCCTCCAAAAGAGAAGAGGAAGGGAAGGGAAGTGAGGGGATTTGGAGAGAGCCACCCCACCCCACCCAGCCCACCCAGCCCACTCCAGCTCACCATGTGAACCCCTAGTTAGAAAGTTTGCCCAAGCCTGGTGTAGATCCATGGCCAAGTGGCAATTCAAGTCTTCCAGTGTCCTAGTCTGGCATTTAAACTACTACATCATGCAGCCTGTCTATAGAATGTACTTCACTATAGAGAAATTTTTATTTTTTAATCTGATTCACAATAATTGCAGATCTTCTCCATGCTGAGAGTTGGGTGTGGGAAGAATATTCCTGGATTGTGCCAAGGGGGCAATAGAGACAGCCATGTGAAGCATGGCATAAGAGTGGGAATTGATTTGGCAACTAATATCATGCAAAGTAGGAGGAAAGATATGTGGGTGGATTGGGGCACCAGGGATAAAAACGGATGAGGAAAACTCTTCCCAGAGGGTTTCAAAATTTCCAGGGCAGTATCCTCGGTGGTAATATCTGGTGGACACAGGAGATCTCCAGAGTCAGCAGTCCGCTAATGGAACATGCGAGCCTGAGCAACTAGGAAATTTTAAGTGTAAGGTTTGAGGGTTTGTTTGTTTTTTGGGATATGGTAGAACAGTATAATTGAATTGTCCACCTTCCTCTTTGAATTGGTGTTTAAGTTAGGGGCCCCCCAATGTGCCCCCAATTCTGTTGACAGCCCTTCCATTAGGCATAGTGTTTGTCAGCCACATTCTTCTCTTGGAGAGATAAGTATCACTTTTGTGGCATCCAGTGTGCTCTGCTGCTATAAAAGATGCTGCTGCTTTGGCAATACTGAAGCAGGAATCAACTACCAGTCTGTTCAACGTCTTTTCTGAAATTGAGGGAGAACTACCTATGCCTCTACCACATAGCAGCAAGCCTGGCTTTGCTCCCTCCACTAGTAATAATAATAATAAACATGGCTGTGGCTCACAAATGGGACTTTGAAAAAGGAGACGGAGGGTCTGATTATGGCAGCCCAAGAACAAGCCATTAGAACAAATGCCATCAAAGCCAGAATTGAAAAGTTGATGACAGATCCCAAGTGTAGAGTCTGCAAGGAAGCAGATGAAACAATAGATCATATCCTCAGCTGCTGCAAGAAGATTGTGCAGACAGACAACAAGCAGAGGCATAACACCATTGCTCAGATGATTCATTGGAACCTGTGCCACAAATACCATCTGCCTGCGACAAAGAATTGGTGTGATCACAAGCCTGAAAATGTTACAGAAAATGAACACATCAAACTCCTCTGGGACTTCCGAATTCAGACAAACAGTTTTGGAGCACAATATTCCTGACCTCACAATCATGTTAAAAAACAAAGTATGAATTGTTGATGTTGCAATTCCAGGTGACAGCATGATTGAAGAGAAACAACTGGGAAAGCTGAGACGTTGTGAGGATTTACAGATCGAACTACAAAGACTCTGGCACAAGCCAGTAAAGGTGGTCCCAGTGGTGATTGGCATATTGGGTGCAGTGCCTAAAGACCTTGGCCTGCACTTAAACACAACTGGTACTGACAAAATTACCCATTTGCCAGCTGCAGAAGGCCACCTTACTGGGATCTGCCCACATTATTCGCCAATTGATCACACAGTCCTAGACACTTGGGAAGTGTCCGAGGTGTGATCAAATACAACAGCCAGCAGAGTGATCTTGTCTGCTGTGGACTCATCTTGTTGTGTTTCAAATAATAATAATAAAACTTTATTTGTATACCATCCAATCTCCCCAAGGGGACTCCGGCCGGTTTCCAACATATAAGGCAAAATATTCAATTGCCAGAAAGGACAAACAGGCAAATTTAAATAAACATCATAAAACATAAAACATTAAAACCGCTTCAATATAGTTTAAAATATGCAAATATGCAAACATTAAAATAGAATTAAATATAATTGGTATTAAAAAGTTTAGTTAAAATTCATAAAAACATACCCAAAACAAAAACCACAGCACCCCCCTGACTTGATCTTTCAAATGTTCTTCTTTAAAAGCGTGCCTAGAAATAAAAGGTTTTAGCCTGTCATCGGAAGGACAACATGGGGGGGGGGGATTCTTCTTGTCCCTGGGAAGAAGGGAATTCCAGAGTCAAGGGGCAGCCACCGAGAAAAAAGGCCCACTCTCTTGTTCCCACCAACCAGGCTTGAGATGGTGGTGAGATTGAGAGAAGGGCCTCTCATAAAGATCTCAGGACCCAGGCAGGTTCCTACAAGGGGATACAGTCAGTCAAATAGCCTAAACCTGAGACATCTTGGGCTTTAAAGCCTAACCAGCACTTTAAATTGTGCCCGGAAACAAACTGGAAGCCATTGGAGCTGCTTCAACAGTAAAGTTGTCCACTCCCTATAGCCAATCCCAGTTAACAACCTGGCTACAACTCTTTGGACCAGCTGAAGTTTCTGAGCATTCTTCAGCGGCAGCCCCATGTACAGCATGTTACAGTAATCCAGATTGGATGTAATTAAGGCATGTACCAATGTGGCCAGATCCAGCTTGTCAAGGAAAGGGCACAGT